CGCCAGTGGAGCAGCCACACCAACGGGAGCAGGAGCAGCAAAATGCCAAACGCAAATGTCGCCATATCCCAATGGCAATCGATGAAAATTTATAGAAAATTGCGCACAAATAAAATTTTACGTTTGCTTGCTTTTTTCATTTTCCAATGCTCACAGCTCGCCGCACTTGCCTCTAAACCTATCCCCTTCACCAATCTGCGGCAGATGCAGGCATCGCCAATGGAATGTTTTCAAATGGTGTGGGTTTTCTTGCGGCACACACACACACACACACATACATACACACTTAAAGTGAAAAGGAAATGCTTGGCTGTTTGTGTGTGTTTGAATGCTGTTTGGCTCGTCATCATCTTTTGAGCTGCAAAACCGATTTGCCTTTTTTGCATTTCGCATTGCAATTGTCGTGCGAATTGTTGTTGTTGCTGTTGTTACTCTTATTGTTGTTGTGCCCTTGGGCCCAACGTCCGCACACACACACACACACATGAGGAACCGGCAACAACGCCATTGCTGTTAATGTTTACAATTGTCGTTTGCAATTTAAGTTAATTGAAATGGCAAAACCAACAAAAATAACAACAAGAAAAACAACATTGCATTTGTTGTCGTTTCTTCTTCTTCTGCCTGTGCTTCTTCTACTGCTTCCTCAAAGTGCTATAATATTTGTCTCCATTTTGTTGCTTGGCTGCGTTCAAAAAAATGTTGCCCCAAAGCGAGCTAAAACAACATTTTTTCTGTTGTCTCCTCATTCCCTACTCTGTTGCAGCAGCTGTTGAGTTGTTGTCGCTTTGATGTTGGCTGCCAAAAGGCTGTGTTATGGTTTATGCTCTTTGCCCCAAAATGTATGCTTCAGTATATTTTTAGGTATTCCTTTAGCTGGCTGGCACAACAAGTTTCGCTTTTCGCGCATTTAACTACTCGCATAAAAGAATGCATGGAAACATCAACACACACACACAACTACTTGAGCACACCTAAAGCGCATTTTAGCAATTATGCAACTTATTTTGCGCAGCTTATTATCTGTGCATACCTTTGTGCCCAAGTACACTTTTACGTAGACGTATATAGCCGCGTCTGGTGCACATTATAAACTTTGCGCTAACGGCATGAGCCGCAGCATAATTAGTTTAATTTGCTTTAAGTTTTCGAAGCAACACCAGCCGTTGGGAAATGGATAACAAACAAATATTTGCAGGCCTCTAACATTAAAGCCAGGTACCATGATTTAATCCATTAGTTCGCAACGCCTACAGAATTGATACATGCGTAAGCTATATAAGATAAGATGCGTAAGATATATAACATACTTCTAATGTAAGATTGTAACATACAATTTGGAACTTTAAATATTAAAGCTATAGTTAAAGATATATAACATATTTCTAATGTAAGATTTTAACTTACAATATTAAAAATTCAAAGATTCGTCAGAGGGGGTCAGTCAATTTCTTGGTTTCTATGCCAAAAATAATCGTGTCAAATGTTCCTTTTTGTGTAGCTTCTAAAGAAACCAAAAAAAATTCTGCCCTGTAAATTTTGATCTCTTCAAGCGCGAATTTAATTTCTAAAGATTAAAACATATACATTTAAGTCAAAAATATAAATAATTGATCATGGACTCAAAACAAAACTACCTTTAAACGAGTCTTAATTAACGTAGAAATATGTTTGGCAGCTACTGATTTAACCTTCACATTAAAACAATAATTTGTTTATTTGTTAAATAGAATCATCAATAAGAATAATAGAGCAATATTTCACAAATTCGTCAGTTCTACTAATACTTCAAAGATTTGAAATTCAGCTTCTCTATTATTATTACACCCATTTGCATTTTTTTTTGTAATCTTGAAATCATATACATTTAAGTCAAAAATAGAAATGATTGCAAATTGATAAAAAAAATAAACTACCTTTAAAGAAACCTCAAGGAAAACAGAAAGACGCTTGGTAGCTTCTGATCTAAGCTTTCTATTAAAACATTAATTCTTGTATTTATTTATAATTTATATATTTATATTTCATTGATTGGAAATATAAAATATAAGAAGCTTCTATTATTGATTTGGGATATAAAGTATAAGAAAAACAAAGCAATATTATACAAATGACAAAGATTATTTCTTTGTAAAATCATTTAAAAAATGCAAGAAATGATTATTTCTCGATAAATTATTGCTTAATACAATAGCTAGCAAATAAAATAAATCAACTTAATAAATTAATAATCCGAAAGCGAACATTGCTTTTCCGCAACAATTTTTGGGTCAAAGTGTTTCTCAAGGGTATTTTGACTTCGACCAACTGCCAGCGAAGTATCTCCTGCGTTAGCTTTAGGTGGGAATAAACAAATTAACATGTTTGCCTGGCTAAATCAATTTTTGCGCTTTTTGTCGGCAGCAACTAATTAATTCATTTAAAAATGTCGGTGGAGGGGAGGGAGGGTAAATAAAACTTTCAGCTTTCAATTCCCAAGCGCATGCAACCTGCGCAAAGGCCGATTATCCTTGTTGTTGTTGTTGCTGTTGTCGTTGTGCAAAAGGCAACTTGCTTAACTTAGCAACGTTAATGAAAGTGGCCTCATGTTATTAAAAAGTCCTGGCTAATTGAACACCTGGCCTCCCAATTTACTTGGCCAAACAATCTCCACCTGAAGGGTCCGAGAATTTTAGGAATGGGCTGCAGACTAGCTTTAGAGTGCTGCGGCTCTTTCGATATGTGAGCCAAAAACCAACAGACGAAAACCACACGAAACGCTTTAAAACTGCACTTGCTGGCCGCAATGTGAAAAATGGGAAGCACTAAGCGAACTCCAGGGCCGATGCAACGCTACCACTTACCGCCCCCCCAGTGCCCGATGTCCCACTTCAGTGGACGCAGAAAAGGGGGAGATATTGAGATGACTTTGCAATCTACCAAAAAAGAAAGAAGGAAAAGAGCATATATTGCATATCAATAGCTGTATATCTCCATTGCGGGGCGAGCAAATTTTCCACATCATTAGAGGCGACGGCAACGCACTCGACTGAGCTCCACGAAACGCTTTCTGGGAGCTGCCTGCCACATTTAGTCTACGCTTTAAGCCATAGAAACAGCAACGACAACAATGCGGTTGGCATACAAATTCGTCATACATATACACATAAACTTGCCAGCACACACACACACACACACACACACACGCACACATATGCGCCCAAAGCCCACGGTCATATTAATCAACTTGATTTCTGTTTTTGCTTAGCCTTCTTTGCTCATTTCATGCATGTGTGGGGGTGGATGCGTGCGTCCATTTTGTAAAATGTGCGCTCAAAAACGCGTTAAAGCCCGCAACAAATTTACAAACTGCCATATGCGTAGCATCCACCATGTGTGCGTGTGTGTGTCTGTGGGTGTGTGAATGTGTGAGTGTGTTTGGTTGTAGTAAAAGCTTTTGGCGCCGGCTGGCAGCAGCTTAAACAGGATTTGCTTTGTTTACAAAATGACAGGCAAGCAAATAACGGTAAATTGTTGGTTGCCTTCCAGTTAAAGCTCTGGAAGCTCTGCTACTGGGTACAGTTTTAGTGTTATGGCAAAAGCTCTAGTGGCAGCTTTTAGTACTAAAAGCAAGGCACGGCACCAAATCAAAAGCCTTGCCGCTTTCCGCACATTGTGAATGGTAAGTTCAAGTTGAAATATTTGTAATAAGTTTGAACGTTTTTGCTTTTATTTTTGAAGCTCCCAGCCGAATTCCTAAGAGTTCTTCAAATCCTATATACATGTAGAGTAAAACTATATATCAGCTCTTGCTTATCATTTTTATTTGAGCCTGATTTTTGTCCAACGGTCAACTTTAAATATTTATAACCGAGTGAACAAGTGTGAACGTTTTTACTTTTATTTTTGAAACTCGCATTCCTAAGAGTTCCTTAGCTTCTACATACTTGTAGAGCGATACTATATATCAGCTCTTGCCTATTTTTGAAATCTTAGTCAAGTTTCTGATCATTTTTGTTTGAGCTTGATTCTTAGTCAACGTTGTTGAAATCATTAGAATATTGTGAATGGAAAGTTCAAGTTGAAATATTTGTAAGTGTGAAAATTTTTACGTATATTTTTGAAGCCGCATTCCTAAGAGTTCATATCTTCTACATACATGTAAATAAAATGGGTAAGCATTCGAATACATACATATGGATACTCGGAGCAGAGATATTCACTTCGATTTAGCAGATTATTTTGCTTTTTGTAAGGCTTTCGAAGTAATAGTAACATGTTAATATAGATTAAGTTATTTATTTGATATATGAAGTTTAAGTAAATAATTAAAAATGATCATGAACAGTATACACTCGTAATAGAGATATTTCCATAGATTTTCCTAATTATTTTTAAATTTATGGAATTCGATTTTTCATTAAAAATGGAAATAGTAATACATTTTAATAACATGTTAAATACTATTTCTGATTAAATAGTACAGACATAGAATATAAACATATTTTTAAACTTTATTACTATTTTCGCTTCCAATGCGACTCGAAAAAAGTAAAGTCTTTCACTATTCCACAATGAGAAAGGGTACCGGACTGTGTGAATTACAAATTTGTGGAACTACAACTTCTGATAAAACACCCGAAACTACAACTGAATACAGATTGTGAATGAAGCGGCTATTTTCGTATTACAATCGTTTAAAGTGCACCTAGTACCCGACCACTATCTAATACAAATCAATGGGTATTTAGATAGAATTGCACTTTAAATTCAACAGGCACATTGTGCTTTAAAGTACAACAGCTGGAAATATAAACACAACTTATCTTGAATGCGATAATAAAGCAATAATTGGGGCACTTATAAAAATTGTACTTCCCCTGAAAACCAATTAAAAATACTGTTTTCATTCAATATAAAAAACAATGAAAACTGGTTTGCTACTAGGCAGCTTGTTTATCGGTCTTTATTTCACTTACAACACTTATAAAGTAAATACTATAGTACTTATTTAGGTAATACTAAGGGACAGTTTTGAACTTGAGGAGACATTCGTAGAGCGTGACTTGCCGCGTTTCGGGCATGCACATAAACACCAGGACACCTAGGCCAAAACTCAAGGCTCCGAACGTAAAGAAAAGGGCTGAATCGGTGATTCTATGCTGGAATGAGGCAGCCAACAAAGCCAACTGTAACAACTGCTCACAGACGAGGATCATGGCAAAGCAACGCGCCTTGGCCGTCACGCTGAAGGCCTCAGCGGTGTAGACCAAGGCCGGCACAGCCACGCCCAGCGCAATGATCAGCTCAAAGAGCAGCATCAGCAACGCAATGGCCTGCAAGTTGATGTCATAGTAGATCTTTTTGGCTGCCTCCATGTGCTCGAACACACCACCCACCATGAAGATGATGATGCCGGCCGTGAAAAGCGAAAGCCAGCAAATTTTCCGCCTGCCCTGCCAGTCGACCAGTAGGGCGCCGACACAGCTGCCGAGGAGTCCACAGAAAGCGAGCATGTATAGACAATTCATATCGCACTCAAAGCCATGCCAGCTAACCACGAGGAAAGCGCGATTATAGGGCAGCGAAAGAGCCAGAGTTGCGAAGCAACGCAGCAGCAGAATCTTTCCAAACGGTAGGAAGCGTCGCGCCCAGTGGCGGTATCGCGGCTCCATGTCCAGCTCGGGTCTGCCAAAGGCATTGGCCAAGTCCCGTGCCGCATAAAATTGCCGACAATCTTCGCGCAGGCGCAACACCTCATTTGGGGCATGTGCACTGCCATTTAGCTGCTTCAGCGTCTCATTCACCGTCAGTTCTCGGTCCTGACGCAGCAGCAGCAGCGGCGATTCTAAACGATGCGCCAGCGCCAGTATGAAGGCCACCACGCCCAGGACGGCCAACCAGATGCCATGCAGCTGATCGATGTGAATCGCATGTCCCCGTTCGAGCGGCTCCAATGCGTACCAGAGGCGAGTATACAGCAACTGGACACAAACGCCCAGCCAGAGAAAAATGCGCTCGCAGCTGAGCAGCATGCCGCGTATTGACTTGTGAGCCACCTCGGCGCCGGTTACCATGGCCTGAACGTGCGTCAGGCCATAGGCCGCGCCTACGCTCACGCTGCTGTAGCAGGCGGCGTTAAATTGGCGGGGCAGGGAGATGCTTAGAACGCCAGCGATGAGCAGCAGGGCGGCACTGGAGGTCTGCAAAAGGGAACACAAACGGAAGCAGAGACAATAGCAGTGGCAGTGGCAGACAATCAAATGATAACGCACCGATAGTGCTAATGGCAATTCAAGTTTATCTACAGATATATTGCGCATTACCAATTTGCGTAGGTTCTCTCTACAAAAGCAAAAAAATAACACACACACACATCAGAAATACTCACATAGGCCACATTCTTGGTAACTTTTTGAACGAATAAAACAGCCAGAAGAGCGCCCAGTGCAGCGCCAATGAACCAACTCATCATCAAATTGTGGGTATTATTGTTGTTCAGGAATTTTCCAGCGGGCGTATCAAATATGGACCAGGCTAATCGCATGCCGCTGGCCACAAACACTATGGAGGCTGTTGAAAACGAAGAAGAAAATTCAAAAATGCATTTCTGAAATTGCGGCAACAGATTACAATCGCTTTAGTGAATATACAGCTAAGGTAATCATTAATTTTGCAAATATGCTCATTTTCTGTTCAATTTTAAGTTTATAATGAATGGAAAGGTAAAAAGAAGTTGAAGTTCACATAAAATTGAGTAGCAAAACCATCAACACTATGTACAAATTATGAATGGGTCTAATAATGTTTTTATTTTTTATATATATTTAAACACTTAATTTTACGTTTAATAGCTAATATTTTAAAACCACAATCTGGGTTTTAATTCACATTTAACAATTTGGTTTAATTTATTTGATTTCAAAACACGCTTGCCATTTTATTTCGTGTTTTCAAATATTGTCCAAATAGTGGCCATCAGAAATTAAACTTGTTGTGTCTTAATTTCGAAAAATTTGAGTAATTTTGCTTATTAATCGAATGTAGAATTAACTTTTTTAAATTGAAAGTCATTCTTTGTTTTTTAGAACCTTTTAATATATATTTTATATATATATATATATATATATATATATATATATATATATATATATATAGAACTAGAACTGTAAATTGCAGTGTAAAAACTATATAAAACTATATATATATATATATATATATATATATATATATATATATATATATATATATATATATATATATATATATATATATATATATATATATATATATATATATATAGTTTTATATAGTTTTTACACTGCAATTTACAGTTCTAGTTCTAAACAAGTTCAAAATTTACTATCATGAGGTTATCAGGTATTTTGATCTTGAAAACGGTTTCAGTCAATTATGTATTTAGCTTCCAAACATTATTTATATTTAATTTATTTACTTTCTACTAAAAGGTTATTTATCATTTAAAGCACGTTTTGAATCTTTTTTGAAAGAGTTGTTAACAACATGTAATGCTTTCTATTTAAATGGATTTAAATTCTATGGATTTTAAAAGGCTTATAAGCAACTTAAAAGTCAAACTATTTTTCCACTCTTTGATTTCTTTTTGTGTCTCAATTAGATAAGTTCTACCATAGAGCTCTACACCTCTGTTTTGCTAATACAACTCTTGCTTAAAAGTGATTGTTCGTGTAAAGTTCACTATAGCGAAAGTTCACTGTAGACAATAATTACCTGCGGCCATGGATTGAAACTGCAGGCGATAGCGCCACATTAGACGCAACCAGGGCAGCTTACCCTCCTCCTCAATGGTTGGCAGCAGCGGCATTTCCACTGAGCTACTCAAACAATTATATAAAATCCTCTTCCAATTGACGTTGGCAATATTGTCTGTTTTCACTTCAAGTATTCTTTTGAGCTATAGATACTACATATAAGTGAGTAAATATTCTTCGATTCGCACATTCACATTTTGGCCACACTCGCCGGCTGGACGTTGATTGCAAAATGATTTGAGTTTCCCGGAGCCACTCAGTTTGCCGTTTCGCCGTTCGTTATTCGCGATAAGATAAACATACTATAAACACATTTTGTTGTGCGTTCAGTTATCGCTCACTTATTGCTGGTGGATATAAATAAATTAATTAAATTTGAATAACGAGCGTCACAGTCGCCAAGTAGTTATACTTTTTGCTGTCAGAGTAGGGGACCCGATCCAATATATTCGGGTTGATGGAAGTATCGAGGGGCAGTACGAATAAATTTGATAAAATAGGGGCGAGCTTGCGTTAGCTCGACCATACTTGTACATCCACACCACTAATAGAGAAGAATAAACAATGAAGTGAAGAAGTGAGAACTGAGTTATATACGATTGTTGATAATAAATTTTATGAATTTAGTTCTCAAAGTAATTTGTTGAAGTGCATCATTATCGTCGTTGTAGAAAAAATAAAAATAAAAATCAACACAAAGCCGTTGAAGAGGCGAGAGAATGATTGCAGTAAACAATGAAATGTAAATCAAATTCATTTGCAATAATTGAGTCTCATTTTTATTAAATAGTAATATAAATGATAATTGTAAATTAAGCTCCAGGTTTTACCTTTATAATTAGTTAATTATTCATTGAAATGGAAATACAATTAAATGTTGTTGAGTATTCAATTTAATTTACAATAAAGTATCAGATACATATATATTTAAAGAAGGAACTGACGAAGAATGGAAAAAATAACGATGTTTCTTAGACAACAGACAAGCTCTTTAGCAAAACAGTTATAAATTTAACTGTCTTATAAATTAAATATACTTATAATTTTGTAGAAATATAATATAATTTTTATTGTTGGCTGTACATTCTTAAAAAACTTGTCAAAGTACTATATTTGAAAGGAAACAAGATTATGTTTGGCTTTTATCTTTTTACTTTACAGTTTCTCTTATACATATATCTATAAGAAACATTCATTATTATATTTACTTTTACTTTACCAGTATGTATTTATGTATTCATCATTTCGTTAGATCGTTAGGGGACAAACATGAGTTCTATTCCTACATTGAGATATCGATTTATTTCATTATCTTATTCTAATATTTTCCCATTTGAGTTTTGCATACATCTATCTTATCTCTAGCAGGTAAAAAGTGCGCATAATATTTTCTCAAACATAACGTTTGTTTTCACATTTCTATTTGTTTGGTTTTTTTTTTTTTACCTCCCATGTGTTTAAAAATATATATATGTATATATAGATAGCACTTCAAATTCCATGTCTATACAATATTAGGACGATCGCATGTGTTAAGGGAAAGGGAAGGTTTTTCCTTTGCGCTTGTTCAATTAGCTATGCTCAGAAGAGCCTTTAGTCTCTGGCTGCGCAGTGCCTTTTGTTTCTGGCATAAACGAAATACTCATAACTATGACGACTATAGTGAGGCCGCCTAATATGTAGAAACTGTTAAATACAGAGCTCTTTTCTATATCATTCGCTTGAACAAGCCAAATGAAAAGGACTTGCACTGTAAGCTCCGCTATGTGGATCAAGGCGATGCAAAATTGTTTGACGCTTTGCAGAAATACTTCCGAAAGATAAGCGGATGTAGGTGCAAAGCTCATGCCCGCAAAGAATTGATATGTGAGTAGCAGGCATTGCGCTATATGTATTTTTGAAACACTGGCCACGCCAAAGGCCAGACAGCCGGACATAACTAGGCCCAGAAGTAATGGGAACTTGCGACCTGTGGAGTCGAGCACAGAGCCAGCACTACAGTTGCCGATAAGTCTGGCCAAGCCACAAAGCACATATGGCATGGTGCTGAGACCAAAGTCGCCATCGCTGGTTATCCGGAGAGCGAGAACGCTGCAATAGCTTAAGGCGCAGAGAATGCGCAAAAGGCAGATACGCAGCAAAGCGGGCAGCGCCTCCAGCAGATCATGTTGCTCATTGTACACCAGTTTCCCAGGGTTAGCAGGCCTCGGCTGATTCTTCATATCTTTGCTGCTAGCCAGAATTAAAGCTACGCCACCACAAATGGCGCTCAGCACGCTCTGCAGCTGATCAGCACTAAGAGTGTTATTCCCTCTCCAGCTGGCGCCACAAATGAACTGTAAGCTAATGCCCAGAATCCATGCTCCTTGCTCGACGATGCACGCCAAAAAGTCCCGTTTATGCCCAACCGTCTGCGATTCTCCAACCACACCGAGCATGGGTCCAAACACCAGACCATTGGCCAGGCCATTGAGGCAGCGCGTGGCCAACAGTGCCATCATATTGAACCTGCAGAGAGTGGCAACAGTGCCACTTAAAAGCACGAGCACTGCACTCACTTGCTAAAAGAATAATAAAAAAGAGAACAATATTCAGTATAATATGGAAATTAAATATGGTATACAAAACAACGATAGCCAGTCGAAACGAAAGGGAACAGTATTCATAATAAGTATTATAGAAATAGAATATACAAAACAATGATACAAAGTCGAAATCATTCACCATGGATCATATGCATCAATTATTTACAAGTATTTACTTGAAATAAGGCATTAACTAATCTCATTCTGCATTCCTATTTATAAATAGTACATAGTTCTATTAAAATGAGTATAGGTTTTCTTTCTCTTCAAATGCTAACAATAATTATATTTATTCTATTGATATATAAATCACTCTTGATTAACCTTTTATCTAAATCTGTCTAGATTAATGAATTGTTGAAATTTTCCTTATTATTATTATTATTATATTAAATGTTAAATACTTGTATTATGTTGCAAGTTTGGATATAAATCGCTTATTTGTTTTAAAAATGCTCCCAAATTAGAAGCAAGTAATTGTTTTTATTACTGCTTTTATATAAATCAATAATATATAGTGTATATGCTACATAGTATAAGAACTACCGTTCTTCATAAAGAGTGTCCTCAGCTTTTTCCAAAAACATCAAACGAGTGTTTCTAAAAGTGTCGTCAGAAACAGCTCCTAAAACTACTTTTGATTCTAAACTTGTATTTGAAATAATAATACACTTTTACTTTAAATTAAATTTCCAACAATAATCCATCTGTAGTTTTGTAGAACCACAAAAATATGCGTATGGTTCAATCCACAAACTTTTCTTTAATTTGCTGTTTGTGCTTGGTTTGTATTCGGGATAAGTGGGATTTTAGGGCTTGTCTGTTCATGGCTGGGACTAGATGGATCCAGTCGAATTAGTCGAATAATTCGCACTTATTGCGTACGAAACAATTTCCGAGAATAACAGGCAATGCTTCGTATAAAGCTAATTTAATGGCAGTTGCATATACAAGTTTTTAGTTGTAAAAATATTTACGACAATTAAAATAAAAACGACTTCAAATTATTCCAAAAAAGGTAACTAATAACCCATATGGTATTAGGTAGGTACAATTAAAAAATACTAATTTTGGAGTCGGTGTCAGCCAAGGAAAGACTACAATATACCTAGTAATAATAATACGAGAATACTTTATGAAATATATTTTTTACAAATTAACTTTTGTACGAACGGCATTATACTGGGAAACCCATTCTAAGCCCATTTGCAAATTAACTTTTATATATCCTCCGTTTTTTGAAGTCGTTTAATAACAACTACTAAAATTAAGTATGTTGTTGATAATCACTAAATCATCGTTTTCAAGATCGTCAACCTTTTGCACTGAGCTTCTCCGCATACTTTTTCTCGTGCGTGTATTTTCACTCACGCCCATACTTGTATTTCACCCGCACATACATAATTTTGACTGAATATTCTCACAGCTGTTGCTTTCGTTTTGATATCCAGACCACAACTTACCAAGATAATCGGAAACGGCACTCGTTTGCTTATCATTGCACTCAGCCAAGTACCTCCAATGGCTGTTAGACACCAAGCAATACACACATCGGTGTTATAGACGCCGGCATTAACGCTGCTGAATCCAGTGATCCAGGCCACCTGCATGCCGCCCGTAATTGTAATGAGGGCGGCTGCTGAAAGGGCGAATGTCAATTTGTTTTCCAACCATAATATTTGACTATAATAACACTTACCACTCAAGATGGCCTTCAAAGATGATTGGTATTCGTCAGTGAAGGGTTGGACGGGTGCGTAACTTTGTTGAATGTGTTTATTGCTTTTGTGCCTCATTGTTTATATTGTGTTCACTCAAAAAGTACTATTTAAACTTTTCACACATTTGAACAGAATATCTGTACTTCTTCTTCATAATCTATATACTATGTAGTTCCACCCAAGCAAGCGTGCGTCTTCAGCCTTCCACGGCCAGCCACAAATTAACCGAAGTCGAGTATGCTCGGCTGTGAGGCACTTGCCTGCGATCGTTCAGCTACCATCTCTCTTTATCTTTCTTTATCTCTCGGGCGCTCTCGCGCTCTCACCCCTATACACTGCCCTAAATAAATAAGTATTTCATGTTCTTTTCATCCGAAGCCTTATACTTATCATATTGTTAGATTTGATTGTTTTTTTTTGTCACGTCCACTCTTTCTTGCTCATTAACTGTCCCTTATCGTTTTATTCGGTTATGAGGAATGTATATGCGTACATATGTGTATATTGTACATTATACATACATATGTACATATTTGTAGTATGCGTGCATATTTATATGTATTTGAGAATTTTTATCGACTCTTAAGTTTATTTTTAAGAGAGATTTAAGAATGCGCATTGGACTGATTTTTTGAATAAATTCAAAAATTTCACTGATAACACTTCAAAGTCAGTGGTTTGATCTGCGTTTTGGTAAAAATGGAGCATAATTGTTTGCTAATTTTGTCAATTTCTTAATTACAAGTATGAAAAATAAGTAAATGTCAATAAAAAAGTTTATATAAAAACAAAATTTGTTCGTATTAGTTAATTGGTTTTTTGTACCCGTCTATTGTGGAGTGAAAACATGCTTTCTGTCACTTTCTGCGAAAAAATAATATTGCCAAATTAAAGTTGAATATATACATTAACTTATATGAGATTGATTTTTGCGGCTTTTCGGGAACTTTTATTTTGTAGCTGATGTTGAAAGTGCACAAATCGTAATCACTATAATGCCCGCAAAACACCTAGATGATTTTGGAAATGTTTTGTGGTTAAATAGTAGTGCTTATTACACATGATCTCTTTCGCTTTGACAAATACAAAATAATATCAATTGTCACCTATCTGTGGGGCAATCACAAATGTGGAATGAACGAACACCATTCAAGGCGGACTACAAGATACATAAAGAATGTATAAGAACAAACAACAAACCTACAAATCTCCCAAGAAAAGGTTTTTTCTAGTAGTGTAATACGAGCACATATTTAGGTATGTATATGTTCATAGATATGTATATGTATGTAGACATGTATATATATGCAGGCGTATTGGTAAAACATTTCAGTTGAGCAAATAAAAGTAGTGTAAACAGAGCTAATTTTGAACTAAAATAAAGCACATTAAATAAAAATAATAATCAAATAAGTGCATTTCAATTAAAAAAGCATCTTATGTACGATTGTTGTTAAGTAGTTCATAGCTTTTTGTTTGATCGAGTATATGGTTATAATTATTATATTTGTTATAAAATGCAGCTGAATCAATATAACAGTTATGTCGCGCCGGTCTTTAGAAGAAGCTGTTTAACTTGCTCTTTAGATTAAATTTCTCTCTTAAGCATTTTCCAACATGGGTTCTGTTCAAAAATTTGCTTACCTTTTCTGGGCAAGAGAAAACTTTTAATTTGTACACTCATAATGTCCAATGACCCTTAATTTGAATTATGTTTTTAATTCTATTTGACATGCTTTCGACTAAATTTTCTATAATTTTCTTTGCCACCCTTGCTGGATTCGCTGCCACAAATCCTCCTGATTTGGTGGAACCGATTCGTTGAGTTTCAATCGTCTTTCCACAAACATTGAGATCATGGTGCGTAAATATGGTGACATATTTTTACTATGCATGTACCATACATGTAAGATGGGAAGGCAGGATAGTGAGAATGGCGGACAACCTAGAAGCAGCATCGGCAGTACTCGGTACTCATTTCGGTTTTAAGCAGTCAGTAGAAATGTACCTAGTTGTCAGTAGTAAGTTGTCAGCCGCACTACAAACACAGTCGTCAGCCGTAAGGAAAGAAGCAGAAGTCAGCAGTCAGAAGAAGAAGCGGAGAGAAGCCGTCAGAGAAGTCAACCGTCGAACCAGAGTGCATTAGCTGCACATTCTAATATTCGCCATCATCATTTTACATTATATTCCTATTTTAAACTATATCATATATAGTATCTTGGTATCGTTATCAATAATAAACATTGTATGATACACAAGATCACATACATAGACACATTGTTTGTCAATTGCATTAGCGGGATCAGCTATTTCCAGAAGACATTATTTGGAGCTTGCTCCATTAGCGTTTCTTATTGTAGTTCTTAGGCTTCATTCTGAGTACCTGACGACTTCTCATGCGGTGATGTGTCCAAATGCTGAATCTTTGTTTCCTTATATTGATTCCAGTAGCTAATGCGGTTTAGTTATCGGCTCTCATTCTAGTACTTAGAAACGATCCATATGAACGATCGGTGCAGAAATATAGCAAAATACTGAAACCCTAGTACACTCAAATAATGTCTCTCAATTACCTGAAGTTGCATCAAAATCGGTGCATTATATTTTTTAGCTGCCATAAGATTATTTTTAGCGAGGAAGACGATTTCAAGAGAAATTCGAGAGTGGGGATGGCCCGACTTTAATGTTCTATCGGGTCTATTCTATTGTCTTTATTAATAAATTAATTTAATCTCAAATAACTTGACAAAAACAAATGGATAACTATTTTTGGTAAACAAATTTAAAATAATAATAACTTAATAATTTCATTCATTTATAGACCACAAGTTAGAGTTATATTACGCGCAAAAATATAGGCAAAGAAGATAACATTTTGAATGCTGTAATTTTTATTTATCCATTTCATGGTTATGTATCGCAATTGATATGGTTATGGTTACATTAATTTAATTACTTGTAAGTAAGTATAAAATCGTGTTTTAGCGAATTAGCAACCCTTGCTCAGCATTCCGCGAAACTTATCCTGCGACTCGCGCAAAGTGGTTCTTTTAGTTTCGGGAAAAGTCCAAATGCCCACAACGAAAGAAAATGCCGAAATACCTCCCAAAATGTAGAAGAAGTTGACGGTCCCAGTAAAACTTAAATCGGTCGCATTGATAATCAAGAAGACCAACATTTCCGCAATAAACGTAAAACTGATCATGTTTTGCTTAACGCCCAGCGGATATGCCTCCGATAGATAGGCAGATGTGGGCGTGAAGGCAACACCGGCAAATACTTGATATACGCAGAGGAGTGCCATCACGGACTCCATATCGTGTGGATTGTATTTTGGGAATTTCCAGCTCTTGTAGGAACTGTCCAATTTACTAGCTGCACCGATGGCCATACTCGCTGTGACCAGCAAGCCCAAAAGCACAAGTTTCTTTCGGCCAACTGTGTCTGTGCAGAAAGCGGTTATGAAGTTTCCCAGCCAACGACACAAGCCGAATACAACATAAGGTCCAGCTTGGTTTCTGTAAACCGTGTAGGTGGCAAGGGTGAAGGCGTATCCCGCCACCTGCGACATGCTCATGGCGTTTAGGGCACGGAGAAAGACAAGTCGAATAAATGCCGGTATCGCCTGCACTAGGCTCTCACAGGTGGAGAGAACCTTATTCTTCTCCAAATAGCGTTTGTGTTCCGCCAGCTGTTCGTAGGTTTCCGATGTTATAGTAAATGGTTCCTGCAGAAGACGCAATGTATCGAGGGCTGCCTCCTCGTTTTTCGTGGCCAGTACAAGTACTGGCGATTCAATTGTCAGAAACGATCCAATAATCAATCCAATTATGCCGTACACTGTGCTCAAAAGGCCATGCAATTGCTCTGAAGTGATGGCTGCGCCTGAATTCCAGCTCATGGAATATATTATCTGCAGGAAGAAGCCGATTCCGTAGCACATCTGTTCAACATTTGTTGTAATGGAGCCTCGCATATAGAATACCACCACTTCTCCAGCCAAGGCGAGTGTTGGCGCAAATACAAAACCATTGGCTATGCCATCCAGATATAGTCCAGCGGTCATGGCGTTCTGATTGTGCTTGGTACAAGCAAGGACAATACCACCAATCAGAACCAGAAAGGAAGAAAATTGCTGAAGGAAGAGTTTAAATTACATTCTCGTATTAATAGAATGAAGAGATTTAGGGATGAGGGTTTTTTCTGATTATCACATTTTCTAAAAACGGTGACAAGACGAATTGATATAGCCATGTCCGTCTGCCCGTCTGTGTGTCCGTCTGTCCGTATCAACGCAAGGATCTCAGAAAGTATATGAGCTGGAACCAAACTTGGTATCCAGATTCTCCTAAGCCCGAGAAGAAGGACAAGATTGCTCATATTTTCCGGTCAAACAAAAAACTTCTTAATTCAAATCCAAATGATGTTTTTTTTTCCCTGACGATGATTTACATTTAAAACTTGTTCTTAGTCGCTGCTAGAAACACTGTTCCTATAACATTTTTCGGAAGTAATATAATCTTTTTTGCCAACAAATGCAATCTTGTTTTGCTTAAAAAAGATTCAGCAAATAAACAAATACACGAAGTAGTCCATTGGAGAGAGGGGTACTTACGAATATAATTTTCTTGGAAATTTGATTGGCCAGGAAACAGCTGAATAAAGCGCCAATGATGGCGCCAATAAACCAGCATACTCGCATATGGATAGTTAAATATGAATTGTGAAAGCCCGCACTTAATGCAATGTTCATTCCACCTGATATGAAGATTAGTGCAGCTGAAATCAGAGAGTTGGAATATTGAGCATCAGTGCAATCAATAGATTTATCAGAGAGTATAGGTGTTAGCTTCGAGTAATTGTGTGTTTTATTTACGACGCTTTGAAATGGATGACTAATTCGGTTCTACCTACCCGCGCCAACTGCATTGGATTGTGGTTTGTTTTTCTGATTGCGCCTAAAACATCCTTCAGGCGGGACACCAATTGTAGGGCGCTGTTGCTGTCCAGGGCCATAGGGCTGTGATGGTTGGTAATTCTGAGCTGGATAGGTCTGAGCGGATGGTGGGCCGGGATAACCTTGTGGGAGATAGCTTTGAGCTGCATACTGCGGTGGATAGCTCTGCGGGTAGCCATATGGCGGTGGCTGATTTGGAGGCTCTGGTGCTGGAAACTGTTTCTCGCTTTCCATATTTTTACATTCCGGCACCAGCCTCGTCTGTGTTGGAATCCTAACTGCGAGCGGCTGCTTTAGCGGCCTATATTGTAGTATTTTAGCCAGAAAAATCGCTTATCTACATAATGATAATTCAGTCGTGTGGTTAACTTGAAATAGAGCGATTAAACGAGCGTTTAACAAAAATCGCAATAAAAGCCTACGTCCGAAAGATAATACGCTTATCAGACTTTGCTCATAAATATCACATTGACATTGCTTCAAGGTATACAACACAAGGCACGGCTATTATTTGTATCTATAGAATGTATGTATGTACTCGTGTGTGTAGGCGATATAATAAGAAATATATATACAAGTATTATTAATTACCAATGGGAATACCTAACAAGAGCTATCGCTATTGTGTTACGGGCATTTGAATTGGCGAAAGCTATTCCCCGTCCGTAATACTTTAATACTCCATACTTAAAGATTACTCAAAAAAACCTAGTTTTGTTCATAATGGGTGGAAATAATTTATTTTTCATAGAAAATATTATTCTGAATATTTTAAGCCAATTTCTTTAAGTCGATACAAACTGTAAAAATTATGTTTATTTTAGAATTACATTTGTTGCATGCTAAGCATAAGTCTTAAAATTATTCCAATTACATCTTTCACTAAATATTACTATTATCATTTCATTATTTGTTGTGTTCTTTATTAATTTAGTTTTATTAGAATTTTACTTTATTTATTACACACTAATTTACTTCAATGATGTGTTTAAAATAATTGTATATTTATTTATATTTATATTTCAGTATATTTAAACTTTGAAATGACGGACGTGAAAAATCTATATAGATTATCATTTTGTTAATTATCATCTTAATTAATATTTTATATCGCTTGCTCACAAGATTGGAATTATTATTATTATTATTGTACAATTTTGTTGGTATTAGTTGCATTACTACTACGCAGAGTTTAATATTTTATTAAACTTTTCTTTCATTTAATTTTTTTATTTACCAAAATTTAACACTTTATTATTATTAAGCTAGCTATCTACTCCCTATCTTGACGGTTAAATCAGCATAGTTGTATATAACTTAATATTTGGAAACAATAGCCTACATATCTTGATTCCTGCTGAACTATGGGTGACTAATTTTGGCAAGAGGGATCAGATAAGCCCTCTGAACATCTAAAAATATACTGGTAAAGGTTATCTTAGACTCAAATTCCATATAATTAGATTATGTGCTCGGAGTTACGTCTAACTGCATGAGGCATTGATATTTTAAAGGGTGTTTACATTCTTTAGGAAACAGCTTAAAATCATAATATTTATAACACTCAATGACAATAAAAATTTCCTTAAAATAAGATGGGACTTCGAAGTGAGGGACTACATTTTATTTCTGCGGTTTAAATACTTGTTTTTAATTAAAAAATCAGTTTTCAAAATTAGTTGGTAACTTTGATAGTCGAAGTTGTAACTAGAGACACATGTTTTGTACATTTCTAAAGACATATATCGTTTCCTATTTGGAATGCTGTTGGTTTCTTCAAAAACCAAAGCTTAGAAATCCGCGGAACTTGTCTTGTGATTGACGCAAGTTGGTTCCTTTAGTCTCCGGGAAAAGCCAAATACCAGCAATAAAACCAAACACGGACAAGCCTCCCACGAAGTAGAAGAAAACGCCAAAAGTAGTAAAATCCATAGTACCAACGCTAATGATTATAAACACTAACATCTCTACTATAAAAGTGAGGCCAATCATATGCTGTTTAACGCCCAGAGGAAAGGCTTCGGACAGATAGGCGGATGTGGGCGTGAAGGCAACACCGGCAAACACCTGATATAAGCAGAGAAATGTCATCACCATCTCCATATTACCAAAATAATAAACCGGCCAATAATAGTAAGAGGAATAGAATTGGCTGCCTGTGCCAAAGCCCATGCCGGTGCACACAAGCAATCCAAGAAGAATGAGCTTTTTCCGTCCAACGCATTCCGTGCACATTGCGGTTACGAGGTTTCCCAGCCAACGGCACAGACCAAATAGAACGATAGGCCAAACTTCTCCTCTGTACTCTCTGGCCGATGCGATGAGGAAGGCGTAGGTCGTAAACTGGCACATACTCATGGCATTAAGCGCTCTTAAAAAGATCAGGCGCAGAAAAGCAGGTAGCGCCTCAACTATGCCAGCACAGACCGAGATATCCTTATTCTGTTCCACATAGCGTTTGTGCTCCGCCAGCTGATCGTAGGTTTCCGTAGTCAGGGTATACGGTCGTTGCAGTCGCCGCAAAGTATCAATGGCCGCCTGCTCCTCCCCATTGGCCAGCATAATTACCGGCGATTCGATGGTCAGGAATGCCGCAATGATTACTCCAATAACTCCGAACACCGCACTCAATATGCCATGTATTTGCTCAGCGCTAATAGCAGCGCCCACATTCCACTCCCAGGTGGACGCGTAGACAATCTGCAGGAAGAAACCAATGCCGAAGCTGGCCTGTTCAATGGTTGTGGTAATGGTGCCTCGCATATAGAATACCGCCACTTCACCGGCCAAGGCGAGTGTGGGCGCAAACACAAGGCCATTCGCTATCCCATCCAAATATAATCCTGCCGTTATGAGTGACTCAACGTTCTTATCGCAGGCAAAGAGAACACCGCCAACGATAACTAATAACGAAGCGAATGCCTAAAAGCAGAACAATTATTTACCAAAAAGGACATTCTTAATATGCATTTTGCTAACATTGTCGCAGTTCACTGTGTTTGTTTATTTATGCCAGTATATCTGCTTATAATAAACCCTAGTTAATATACACATATTGGTTCTTACTCTAATACTCCCTAATGGGCACTCTAGGATTTATTTAAAGTAATATACATTTCCTTTTTCGAAAACCTACTATGCTAATATTACTAATTTATGAAGTTGTTGGAAAAAATAAACTTTAAAGAACACATAATGAAAATTAGCCAACAAACATTACACATCAAATAAAAGTAATTCATTGTTTTTCTTTAGGATAATATGACGTCATGATTATTTTTCCCGCGCACTCCACTTTTCTTTAAACAAATGTCGAAACCTTTTTGGTTTGCTTTGGACACTGAAATAAAGTTACATTGCAAACAGCTAGGCTGTTGTTGGAAAGAGAGACAAAACAATATACTTTTCTGTATTGGTCAGTCCCATATAAATGCCAAATCGAACACTTAACAATGTTGCAATTGATTTTTTTTTTTTGTTTCGGTTGAAATATGACAAAACGTTTGTTAATCGATCAGTTCAAATGATTCTTTTTCTACATACTTGTACACAATCGTTTGGCTTAATACCTAGGGAGTTTCCATGGGTGTCTGTTAGTTGTAAAGGCTTCTTGATATGAAAAATTGTGTAAGTAGTAATTTACTATTGACAGTGATAACCAGAACGCTAACAGAAATTTTTTCTATTTACAAGTACACTAAAAACATTAAAACGGACGGGGAATTTATAAATGAAAAGGCTTTAAAAAGTTTGTTATTTTGAAGAAGCAAAGTAATATCTAAAACTAAACTAATAGGCTTTAAAAAAGCTTTATAAATGAAACTAATAAGTGTACATGTTTCTTTTTTCCCGTATATGAATATTTTAATTATAATAACTATAATTCAAAAGCATTATTAGAATATCTGAGTAATTGTTCTATTGACAGGGAATTACATTTATAATTTCATAAATGTTTATTTATTTATAAATTTGTTTATCTCTAGCTATTGAAAATAATGTTATCGCCATTGATTATTCGTTTTCACTTGATAATAAAAAACACAAAAAAACTGACGGTTGTGACTTCGTTATTTTAAGTCAAAGAAATTAATGGAAACGCCAATAAAATTTAAAATATAGTATTACCTTCTTGACTGCATAAATCAAGCGGTATTTACGAATATATATACTTACGAATATAACTTTCTTCGGAACCTGATTGACCAAAATACTGCTGATGAAAGTACCGATGATGGCGCCAATAAACCAACAAATCCGTGTATGGTAACTCAATGGAACTGTAAAGAAGCCCGCACTAAAGGCAATATTCATGCCACCAGATGCAAAAATAAGTGCAGCTGTAAGTGAAATAGTTTTTGATTAGTTGAAGGCAATGTCAGGTGTATATAGTATATGGAGCCTATCTTATCAGATTTCCCAATAACAGTTCCATGTGTTAATGGCGGGGATGTGTCATGCCTAATTCTCATGACATATCATACAAGTATATATGTAGTATATATTTTTTGTTAAATAGACTCTAACATACCTGCACCGACTGCATTAGACTGGGGCTTATTCCTCTGATTCCGACTATACCATCCTCCAGGTGGCACCACAGCTACACTGGGCTGCACTGGCGGTGGTCCGTAGTGTTGTGGTGGGAAACTCTGGGGCGGGTAGACCTGTGCACCTTGATAGGATTGGCCTGGATAGCCCTGGGGGGGTGGTTGTGCCGGAGGATAATTCGGTGGAGGATAGCTGTTGGCCGGAACAGCTGGCGGATAATTTTGTGGATAACCCTGAGGTGGATAATTTTGTGGATATCCCTGAGGTGGATAATTTTGTGCGAAGCCGTAGGCTGGGGCATTTGTTGGAGGTCCCTCAGGCTGCAAACCGTAGCCCGGGGGACTAGTTGGAGGTTCCGTCGATTTCAAGGGGTTGTCGTTCATTTTGGTTCTGGCACTCGCGCTCGTCGGCCTTCGATTCCAAACTGCTGGCAACAATGGACGGCCGAACCTATTATAGGTATTTTTTCTACGAAACCCTTCGGCAATTCGTCTACATGAGTAATGACGATAAGCTAACGGGTTGTTGAGAATAAAGCTCAAACTACAATCGCAACAAAATAAAGAGAATTCACATTGCTTGCGTATTTGGAATACAAGCGTGATTCATTTCCATGGGCACAGGTGATTAAGTTTCTCTAATCGAGCAATTCTTATGTTGTGTACTTATTCAATTTTTAACTATGCATATCTATATTATTATATTGTTTTGTATATAATTATGTACTTTTATGTTCATGAAGATTTGTGCTCCGCTCATTGCTAGCTTCTGGTGGCTTGCCAATCTTATCGCCACTTGCTTTAGTTACACAACAAATTTAACGTTGATAATAATTTTGTATACTCTTGTATATATTACTGTGGTGAATTTTTATACTCTGTACATGAAATGTACAAGAGTATATTAGGTTTGCGGGAGCTGAAAAATGTAACAGGCAGAAGGAGGCGTGGCAGACCCCACAAAGTATATATATTCTTGATCAGCATGACGAGACGAGTCGATCTAGCCCTGTCTGTCTGTCTGTCCGTCTGTCCGTCTGTCCGTCTGTCCGTCCGTATGAACACCTGGATCTCAGAGACTATAAGAGATAGAGACACCAAATTTTGCACGAAGATGCGTTATGTGTGTATTCTATACGAGTTTGTTTTATTTTTTTGATTTTCCCCCCCACTTCCCCCCTATGGGGGTTTTCCCGATTTTCCATTCGTATAATCGCCTATATCTCGGAGACTATAAGACCTAGGAACACCAAATTTTAGTCCCAGATGCCTTATGTGAATACGCAGAAAATGTATATTTTGGAATTCCCCTCCCTCCCCCCTCTACCCCGCAAATCGTAACTCCCGTAATTCTAGGAATTTCGAACTAAAATTTTGGAAATACCCCCAGTTAGTTATTATGTGTCCGTATGCCAAATTTCATTATGATAGACCGATTTAACAAGAAGTTATAGCCATAAATATATTTGCTGATGCAGCGCTGCTGCAGCGCTGCTCAAGCGCTGCCCGCGGCTGTTGTTGATGTTGCTGTTTGGTTGACTGCGAAAATGCTTACACAGACACGAATAGATGCGCATAGGCATACATACACTCACACAGACGCAATTGCTATGTAAATGTTCAATTATACACCCTTTACGTGAGTTCGAATACCGAGAGAGGTAAAATCGATCAAATTTTTTTTTTTATTTTCTTAATTTTTTTTATTTTCTATAATTATTGTAAACATATGTACAGAGTATTTCAAAGTCGGGACACCCGACTTTAGCTTTTTTACTTGTTGTTTGTTTATTTGTTAAATTTGTTTGATTTTTCGATTTATTTTTAATTCAAGTCAAGCTAAAATGTTCCATTGCAGAAAAAGTAAATATAATTTCTGAGAGTTTTTGCCATTGGTTCGTACATAAATGTTTAACCTGAAGTGCTGAATTGATCTACATAATTTGTTTTTATATTTTATACGAAATATAAAAAATTGTTTTTTTGATATTTTTGATTTGACAAAAATGTTGTTACAAGTACTACATTTTTGTCTCATATCGGAACGAATTGTTATACACTTCAGCCGAAGGGTCTAGGGTATAATATAAAATCTAAACGCCTGATGGTAACAGACAGATATGGTTATAAATACATTCGATGACATAAATCAATCGCAATGTTTATAAAAATATCATTTATAAGATGTATATAATGCTTGAAATTATATAAAAATCGTTTCATGTTGCTTCCATAAAAATTATGGTTGGAACAGCTTTTTTGTTCTTAAAGATATGTTGAACAATTTTTTACATTATAAAGCTGGGGATTGTTTTTGACAACAACATTAACTTGATTTGAAAGGCTGTAGGAGAAAAAGGCGGGATACAGGGTATTTAGAAGTCGCGTTCTGTTTGCTTATTAATTATAAAATTTTTTTATTGTGTATTCAGCTTAAGAGCTATGCCATTTAATTCAATTCATCGATATCTAATGAATTCGTTTGCTCACAAATCCTTTAAATTTCTCCAGTGCCTCGCGCAGCGTAGTTCTTTTGGTCTCCGGCAGGATCCAAACAGCCAACAAACAGAACAACAACGTAAATATGCTCATGAGATACAGATAGTTTGTACAAGATTTTGTGTCAGTGAAGTATGAGTAAACAAAAATGTATACAGACATCTCAACAATGTATGTGAGTGCTATGAATTGTTCTTTGATGGCCATTGGATAGGCTTCAGAGAGAAAAGCTGGCGAGGCAGTGAAGGCCAATGCGGAGAATGTTTGCAATAAAGAAACTAGGACCATACCATATGTGCAGTTTCTAGCAAAGCTTGTCATTATAAAGGCCATGCTACCGTAGAGGAGCAGACCTATAAGTGTAGTAATTCTGTGTCCAATCAGCTCCATGATGGGCATGGTGATTAGATTTCCAAATATACGGAATATTCCCAAGATGGGATACGACCAGACCAAATGGTTAATATCACCGTAATTGGTTCGAAAAAGGACTATAAAAATAGCTAGGCTCATGGCATGTAGGGCGCGAAGACAGCAAAGACGAAGGAGCGCGGGCAGGGCTTGAGTTATGCTCCGATATGTTGAAAGTTGCCGGCTCTCCATCACATAGGATTTATTTTCCGCCTGCTGCTCGAAGAGCTCCTCGGTTAAGGTGTTAGGAGCTTGAACACGTCGCAGCACTTCCATAGCATAGAGTGGTTTGCCCCTAATTAGCAACTTTACAGGCGATTCCTTGCTAAAGAATGTACTCAATGACATCGCAAAAATGCCGGATAGAACTCCAATGGCACCGTGCAGACCGTCGTGTTCCAGATGTTCCAAAGATGTTGATTTCCACAAATACGGATAGATGACCTGCGCACAAATGCCAATGCAAGGACAAAACTGCTCAATGAAAGCAGCCACAAAGCCGCGCATGTAGAACACCGTCAGTTCGCCAATTAAGGCGATCATCGGTGCAAACACAAGACCATTGGCTAAGCCATCAATATATAAAGCAGCCCGAATGTATTTCATTTCCTTCTCGCTACAGATAAATAGGAAACCGGCGGTTATTATGAGCCCAGTAGCCAATTGCTGCAAATAAAACGATCATTTTTAATCGTAATTAGAGAGTGTCGAACTGAGAACTTACAGCTACACGCCTCGTAGGTACTCGATTGGCCCAAAACATACTGATTATCGCACCGATGATGGCGGCGATGAACCAATCTGGAGTAAAAGTTGGTCCTTGATCGATGTCTGGAGTCTGCAGGCCTACGCTCCAGGCTATGCTGGCTGCTCCAGAAACCAATATCGGGGCAACTATAAAGAATGACTCTCATTTAAAATTCATGACTGGAAGCAGAACTATAAATCGAAACGTACGAGCTCCGACTGCGTGCATCTGCTGCCTGTTCTTCTTATAGCGAGTGTGCCACTCTTCCGTTTGCAGCATAATAAAGTATGTTGGTAAAGATTCTGTTGGCTTCTTTTTGGGCCCCTGTCTAGGAACATCAACGGTCTGCAGCTGATAGTATTTCACCATGGGGTTTGGCCGAAGTTCCTCCGGTGGCGTCACAATCGGCGAAGCTGTCGAACAGCCTGCCAGAGGCAATTTGGAATCATTCTCCATTCTCTGGTCATACAACTAGCAATGTTCGCGATTTAATTGAAACTGAAGGCAGTTTTCGAAGCAAGTAATCGTTCGGAGCGAAAATATCACAGCTGAGCCAACTCGCCAACTCCCTAGAGACAAAGTGCGGCTGGAAGATTGGGTTTTTGTTTCACAGAAACGCAAAATCGAAGCTTATCACAATTGTAGCGTTTGGGAATATTCCTTGTTCTTACGAGTACATACTACTTATATAAAAGATCATGTATTGACATTTCGAGGGTAGTTGGAATGGGAAGAGAGTAACAACGTCCGGATGAAAAATAATGCAAAAGAATATGAGTTGGAGTTATCTTTGGCTTCCATCTATTACATATTTTAGATATTTATTTAACGAATGCTAACTAGTACGCACATCTTTTGTTTATTTATACTAGTCATATTATCGACGAATTTAATGATTTTTTGTAGTGGAAAACAGAGAACTTCTGAAACTTCAATAACTTTTTCTATTTTTCAACAGTATAATGCAAGTATATACATAGCTCGGGTGTAGAAATTATCAATTCTTATCAATTCGATATGATAATACAGAGATAGTAACAGAGTTTGATTAGCCGAATTAATGTTCATTCAATGGAATAATTAAAAGCACACAGTATCCACTTAAAAAAAGTCAAGTTAAAAAATGAAAAGCAAATAAACTTACTAAATTATTGTATTTACAATACTTTTGCAAAAAAACGTTGCGATATTTAAAGAAGTTATTGTAATTAAAAAAAATTAAAGTCATTAAATCGGGTTTTTATTAAATCGGATGCTTACAAACATTATTGTAGGAATTTAAGAGATTGACACGTATTTATGATCCAGCTGCAATAAGGCATGGATTACATGATTTCTTAGGCGTATTAATTTAAGTTTTGTTGTGTAGGAAACCTTAAAACTAGGCTTTATTAGCGATTATGGCATTATGTTAAAAAATTGAGTTTAATTGGGAAATTATTTATTTTTTAATCTGTGTTCGTGAGAGACTTGAATTACTAAAGTAAAACATTTACAGCCTATCTGGCATTTCCTACTCCGTAGCCTCGCCACAGATTGTTCTATATTTAAAGCGAAATGCAGATTATACTACCGATAAAAAGGGTTAAGTTTAGCTTTAAAATGAATATCTATTCTACAATTTTGATTAGGAACTTTCTTTGTATTCTTTAAATTGAGTAACAACAATTTTTCATTTCATGATTTACTTTTAAACTGAATTCCGAAAATATAAATGTTTAACTTCAATAATTTTACAGCGTGTTCAGAAGTCGGTTAAAAATAATAAAAATACTCTAGTAAATATGTATTTGCTGAGCCCCCTCCGAGACTTAAATAGGCGCTATTGATGATGACGACTCCATCGCCATATATCCAGGCATATAATTAAAAAGCTATCGCTGCGCCATGAAGGCATGCTGTTTACTTCGATGTGAGTGTTGAACAAAAAACCCCAGTGATAAGAAAATCAATAAATTTATAAATTATATTGCAAGCTTCACACTCCACTAATTAATAAAATATTTATTGATATGTGGTTATAAAAACATAAATACGATTTTAAGCAGAGATTGCAAATTAAATTTAAAAACATTTCCAAAGTATTTTGTTTTTAGTGTGATTCCAAAACTTTGAGATTTGTATTTGAAAAGACACAAAACATTATCGAAACTATCAATTGATATTCATTCTTAAAATTAAAGTTTGTCTTAAAGGGGAATACATTTTTATTTTTGCAACAAATTGCAAAACTCAAAAAATAACAAAAATAATTTATAATTTATTTTATACTTAAGGAATAATTCTAAAAGTATAGCTTAGCTTGCCTTCTTATGTTCTAGAGCTTGAAATAAAAGAGCTTGCGAAACATTTATTAAATATTAAATAATTTATACTCAAGGAACAAATCTATATGGAGAATTTGTATAGCTTAGCTTCCGTTCTAATCTTCTAGAGCTGGGAATAAAAGAGCTTGCGAAGCATTTATTAAATACTTTATTAAGTATTTTAAACTCGAGGTATAGTTATAAAAACAGAATTCTATCTTCTAGAGCTTGAAATGAAAGAGCTTGCGAAACTTTTCCTGAGCCTCCATCAATGTGATCATCTTCGTCTCAGGCAGGCTCAAAATGGCTAGCAGAAAGAAAACCAGAAATATTCCACCCATTCCATAGAAATACATGACAGTGCCTGCGTAGCTGGATGGCAGAGTGAACATCATACGCGTGCCTAGCTCCAATATATAGGTAATGGCCACAAAATGTGATTTGGCGGACAGCGGAAAGGCCTCGGTCAGGTATACCGAAGAAGCAGTGAGTGTTAGTCCAGCGAAGAACTGAAAACAGATTAGCATGGCCAGTGCCGAAGAGGTAAATTGCTCGCAATGGCAGATCATAGCGTAGGAGAGCGCCAGACCGCCACTGGTGAGGGCTCCAACAAGGGTTGGCTTCTTGCGACCTGTGGAGTCCATCAGAACTGCGCCGCACAGGGAGCCCAAAAATCGTAGACTGCCGAACAGCACATACGGCCAGGTGTGAATGTACTCAGCCAGACCTCTGCCAGTTTCATGCAAAGCGCTCCAGATGACGAGGGTCAGAGTGAGCGCATTAAGTATACGAAAGATGGAGAGCTTGATCAGGGCTGGCAGACCGATAAGAAGACTTCTGGAGCGACTCAGCTTCCGATTTGAAGTCACATAGTGTTTGTGTTCGTCAAGCTGCAGACAAGTCTCGCTGGTAACTAGATAGGGGCTCTGTAGGTAACGTATTGCCTGTACAGCCGTTCGTTCGTTGTGCCGCAGCAGCAAATAGATTGGTGACTCAACGCAGAGGATCATCGTCAGACCCAGAGCGGTGATGCCGCACATCAGACTCAGCACACCATGCACCTGATCGGCCACAATGCTCGCATTCCATTCGGTGCACCACAAAGCCGTATAGAGCAGTTGCAGCAACATGCCGAGATTACAACTGAGTTGGTCCAACCAGGCGCTATGCATGCCACGCATGCTGTACACCGATATCTCACCAACACTGCAGAGTGTGGGCACAAATACCAGACCATTGGCCAAGCCATCCATATAGCGACCCACGATGATGGCAATGCTATGATCTGGGAACAATACAAAGAGAAGACCGCAACTCAGTACCAAGCAGGAGCCAAGAATCTGCAAGTAGGCGTTTCAAAGATCAAATAAGATAAGATATTGAGATATTGAACTGGTATTCAATAAAATTCGAAAGATTCTACATAAATAGTAAGGGGTACAAACCATAATGAAGCATATACTTGTATGTACATAAGTAAAGTTGTCAGATTCTTAAGAAATTTAAAACACATTTAAAGTATCGCTTATGAACATTTCAGCATACACAATTGGACTCCAATTAGTATTATATTCCTTCATTAAGATAAAGTAATTGCTTACTGAAAATGCTTCTGCCTTTGATCTTTCATTTGAAATTTCATTCCATAAAAATGATTTCCGCCAAAAAGTAATTATTGTGCACTCATAAAAAATATCTCACGTAAATATTAATATTTACACGTATGTAGATTTTGATATAATTACACAGTTTTAGCAAATATAAATAATGTGCACTTTAATTTCGAGTTTAATAATAAATTATTCAATTTAAAGTGTGAGTATATATAATCACAAGTGTTTCTTTTTTATAATTATAAAATATTTTTTCACTTTTTTGTCTGTTCTTCTAAAAACAGTATTAATTGTTTTTAACAAGAAACTACAATAATAGTAAATTGAAATATTTTTGGGCGCATATTAAAATTAAATAAATTAATTAAAAACATTGAAGTGAGCTTAACACATTTTAATGATAAAGATTTCCACCTTGCTTTGAATATTATTCACAATTAAATCAGTGTTTGAATATGTTTTTAGTTAAATTTAAGTTGTTTACACTTGATTCAAAAATTGAATTGAATATAAAAATATCCATTTTCACTGTGCAATTTTTTTTCGAGTGTACTTACATAAACCGGACGTTGGGCTACACGGTAGCTAAGCTGTGCACCTATAATACTGCCCAGGATGGCGGCCCCATACCAACAAATTTGCATATGCAGGGTCAGGCGTTGTCGATGCGAGGAGTGGGCGGCAAATCCAGCACCCCAGGCTATGCTCATGCCTCCAGAAATGAAAATAAGCGCTGAGGCAGCTAGAGCATTGAATTGGGGCTGATTCTTCTTCCATTGACTGAGCCATCTCTGCTCCGGCTCCGTATGTGGCTCCTGCACTTTGCACTTTTCGATCATGGATTTGGGAATACTGTTATTGAGCTACAACCACAGAGCTCTTTATATACGTACATATATTGGAATAAATAGTTGGAATAACCCACATTAACGTTTGCTTATCTGTTCATCCAACTTTGGTTATTGACACCATGAAATCGAATATGGCAAATTAAGTATTTTAATCAGCACAACATTTTGCCATAAATCAAGATAAATATGCAAAGTGCTTAGCCTATTTATGTATAACCCCCTGCAGTGGTGTGGGCGACATAAAAATAGACCACTTTCCCTTAATATCAGTAAATATTTGCACACAAATGGCTTTAAGTGCTTTCTATATTGTAGTCAAAAATTAGCCTTTGACACAATAGAGTCTGATGCGCTAGTCAGAGTCAAAAATAAAAAAATATATATATTTATATATCCATATATATTCATTAACACTATTTTAAAAGATGTCCTATGGAAAAGAATAATTGTAACATGATGCTTGAAATTTTTATATCCTGTACCCTGAGGGAAAATCTGTTAGCCAGATTATTATTTGAATGGATATTAGGATATTATTAAGAAACAATATTAAACTAACATACTATCTTTATAATGAAAGCTTTCTTAGTCTATAGTTAAGAGCCGAATTTAATGAAATGTGGCTCATTGCATTTAAAATACAGTTAACAATAAAACAATACTTTTTTTTTGACAAACTTTAGTCCGTTTCAAAAAATGTATCAATTCATTCAGAATTATCACTCATTTAAGTTAGTGATAGATTGCCTTTTAAGGACATTATGCTGCTTAATATAATCACAATACAAAAACTCACTTTATATTCACAATTTCTTGAAAATGGTAGCAGAGAGTTTTTTTTTTTTAGAGTTATTACAAGTAATGCATTTGTCAATATACAAAGTATTATGTAATGTATCTAAAAGCTGAGTCCAAATCAATACAACAGTTTATGAGTCTTATTATCTAATTACCTATGGTATTTTTTATATCACCTTTTAATATGCCAATTACGAGATCTTTCTGATCATAGTATATAGAAATACAAAAAACAACAGTCTCTTTTTTCTCTTTTTCTTTTGCTTATCTAAAATAATAATAGCATTGAATTATGCGAATAAAGAACATATCGCCTTATCAATTAAACAATGTTTACTTCACACAGTTTTCATTAACAAAATAGCGTTTATACAAGTATGAATAGAATAGTATCTCTGTCATTCTCAAATGTTTCACTCGCAATAGGCTGAAATGTTCATTTATGGGGCTGCTTATATAGCAGTAGTATATAAATGTACTTCGTACACAAATATACTTGCATATGGATAGATAAGCACATACCCTATCTGCGCTTGTGTATCTTCCCTGCATTGCGGCGGAATATTAGCGCCCGTCACAGATTAAACACACGCCCGACGCTAACGCCCCCATCTGTTGGCGCCATTACAAATTCTGAATGGAGCATGGGAAAGGGTGTGTGTTGGGGAGAGGGGGAGGGCGGGACATGGATGGGGTGGGCTACTGCAAGTAACACTCATGCGTATGGCGGTAGCAGAAACAACAAATACAACAACAGATAACACAAAGTATGCCGTCGTCCACTTTTGCATTTGGGCCAAAGTGAGGAGCGCTGTAAAGAAAGTGTTGGGTCGGGTGGCAAAATGGTGCAGAAACTTTTATCGCAGGTGCTTTTTCCTGCCAGTAGCCCCGAAAAAAGTCTATCAAGCGATTTCCGCCTACAGCCCCACACTTATGCACACACATATATAGACACACTCACATTTACGGAAGGACGTGAGCCCTTCGGACTTTCGGACGGAAGGATGAAAGAATGGATAGACAAACGCGGCTCGTTGCTAGAAGTTTTCAACTTGCAACCAAGTTCGCGATAATGTTTGACTATGTGCGCACATGGCTGGCTGACTGCCACGCCCCCCGTCTGGCTGGCCAAGTAGGGGTGCCCGGGTGTCTACATGTATACTTGTATATGTGTGTGCGTGTTCACATTTGGTGGCGTTAAAATAAATTTAATTTTATCGCTACATAAATACAGACACTCAGCCTTAGATACTTAGGTTGGCATTCGAGTGGCAGGCAAAATGTTGCCTACTAAGCACTTTACACCCACAAACCAATTGGCTTTTGCCATGTGACACTTCCGTTTTTTAGTTTCTCGAGTAGTTGATTTTTATTTCCTGCAGGCCATCAATTCAAACAGCCTTAAAGTTGCTTGCCATCTTCGCGATTCTTTCAGCCGAGCAACAACAAAGGGCAGACCAATTAATCAATTTTTAAGTGCGCTCATTGGCAGCTTAAGTGTTTGGTAATAAATACTATCGATCCTCCTAGCATTTGCTGGGAATTTCGGATTTAAAGCTAAAAAAATCAGCTCTCTTACAGTGTAGAAGCTTAGCTTAGTGAGGAACATAATTACCCTGATAAAAACTTTTCCCCAAAATACTTAACGTGACGACTGCACAATTATTATTATTTTTCAATATAAATTTGTTTAACAAAGTAGAGATTAATAAACCATAAAAATGCTGTTCTTTTGAAGTAATTGTTTTAAAAAATAGGCTTGCGACAATAAATATAAATTGCAAAATACTTTTTATTTTTATTTAAAGAAGCATTTAACGAATATTTTCCAGGTTTTGTTTTTTTTTGCCCTCAGGTCATGCTACTTGGCCATTATTACATGGCGGCCCGATATATGCGCCAAATGTATAAAATGTAACACCAAGCTATACTATATATTTAATGGAGACTTCGTTTAAAGTTAGTACAGTACATGGCAATCGTATTGGCCTATGGCACTACATATATGAAAATATTGCAGCGCTTCTAAAGAAGAGTATTGAGACCTTGCCCGCCACTCTAACATGCTGATAGTGAAGTGCCTCCAAACACATATACTTATATAGCAATGGTTTGCGAAATCATACAACTTTTGCGGATTTCCATGTCCAACTGCTCTGTGAACACGATAATGTCTTGGCCATTAAGCTGCTCGAAATCAGTTAATATTTAAAGAGGTTCCATCCACTTTTTAGGCGTTGTTGGAATGAAGGCTAATATAAAATTATCCATTAAATATTAAATTTATGAAATACAGCTTTACATTTAGGAAATATAATTACTGCTTCGACTTATTATTTTTCATAGCGTCTTACAACGTGCCAACATGATTAACAAAACGACAGTGCATTAATTTTTCTATCAAAATAAAAAGAAAACTTAAAAGTGTTTGAAACCACAATTTTCGTGTCTTGGGTTTGCGAAAAAAGGAGTTCATATAAATATTTTTTATAAATGTTAGCCTCTTCAAACATTTGGATGTTACGTTTTTAAATTTGAATTTCGCATTTGTTGTATATAAAATGCTCAATGTCCCGAATGCTAATTTATACATTCATGCACATATATAAAAGCTTTATGTTGATATGTGAGCTTTTTAAACTAAAAATTTATTTTTTAATTTATTTATGTTTTTATTTATAGTTGTCTTTGCAACTCAATTGGTTGATAATTTAATTCATTTTTCTGCTCACAAAATCGTCTCTATTTTTATTTGTGAACTGAAAGTACACTTTGTCGCTTGGCTATACTATCAAAGGCATTTTTGTTTTGTAGCTATTTAATATTCACTCAATCATCAAATGATTGGCCACAATTTGTGATTGCCAATTTTATTAAAGCAAACATGTTCATAGGTTTATCAAAAATATATCTCGCAGTATTACGAGCAAAAATTTGAATTTTCTACATCTACATAAAGTAGATACATGCATTTCAAGCAAAATTTTTCCAGGCCAACTATATTATAATATTTTATAGCTAAAATATTTGTAAAGAACAAAGTATATAAGTACGAATAAAAGTTAATAAATATTTACCTGAAGGAATTCTTAAACAAGTTCTTTTCTTAATCCGTTTCCACTGAAAATGTAAAAGACAAATTGTTTATTTTTTTCTGATTGCTGCGAAATTATATCCCAACCAGAGTCTGCAAAATGGCAATGTGCTCAAAATACAAGTATAATAACCAAAAAAAAAAAAAAAAGGCGAAAAGCCAAGCCAGACAAAGTTGAGGCAGCAGTTTTTTGTATTTGCTTCGCTGTCGACTTTTGTTTTATGAGCACTTCAATGAAAATATAAATAAACGTTATATTGATCTTTTGGCTAGCCGACATGCGAGTCGGCCAAACAGTTTGCGTCTGTTGCCATTTTTATGGGCGTATTTTATTTTTAAAAGATTTACGAGCCTATGGCCAATGCATCATAAAGTTCACAGGTTCAATATAAAGCTAGAACGAAAATGAAATACTCGTATGCATGGGAACTTGTTGTCTATGTGTGCTGCTTGATGTCTTTTGAAAAACAGGAAAATATTGCAAGCTAATTTTAGCATGTCAATAAAAAATGTATAAAAAAAGTGGAATCCGCGCTTAAATTTTCACAAAAGCTAAAAAGTAAAATGGTGGGCTTTTGAAGAAATTTCATTTTAGTTAAAATGTGAAATGTTGGTGCTGCACAAAGAGGCCAACGCTCATTACATTTAATGACGTTGGTGCTGCCAGACTGTCACATATTTTTGTACCACACATGGCTAAATGGTAAGGCGAGGAATGACATCGCGTATACGCCTCGTGTGCGCCCTATACAATGCATATTATAACAATGCCAGCGGCTACGGCGCTTCCGACGTCAATGTGCAAGTTATAATGCCGTTACTTATACACGCACATACACACCTACACATGGCCACGAACACTTTTATAATTGTTGTTGCCTACTTGTTGGCGCACACTCTCTTTGAAAGCAACCAACCAACGGCCTCGTTCCCTTTCTCCACTCAGTTTTTGGCCATTTTCTTTTGACTCACGTGCACGATTTTATGACATTTTTGCACGCCCTGTTGCTGTTTTAAGTTGTAGTTATTAAATTAGACCAAAACAACCCCCACCCAGTGTCATAAACAATAAATCCGAAGTTAATGTACTGAAATA